GACTCCACTGTTCTATTAAACAGACTCAACGCATCTTTAAGAGTCGTCCAAAACCAACAATGCCAGCATGCCGTAAAAGCTTTGTTTGCAACCCAACAGACTGTAACTGAGAAGCAAGAAAAACATAATGACAAACATCATATGCTGAATAAACACCAGGCCCTCCAAACGCAAATGGTAAGGTGGCAAGCCACCACTACCAATTGCCAAACCCAAGCCCCGAAGTAGTAACAATACGCTCCAAGGAAGATCAAAGAGCCCCGTCGAATGTGCGCGAAGCCGCCTCAAAAGTACTAGGAGGACAAGTACGTAATGCAAAGTAGAGTTTAAAAACTCCGTTACATGCCCTTAGTAATAACAACTCACATTGAGGATCATCAAGCATAGCAACCTTATCCATAAGTGCAATGGTATTGGTCACCCTATGCATCACAAGCTCACCACTAAAACTGAAATCGAAACTAGCGAGACCACCAAGCAACTTAACAGTTAACACCACGCAATGGTCGAGCTATATTAGGTGGAAAGACACCCACAAGCCTGCTTCGAGGGTCTTCTGTAGGCCAGAAAATTTCATTTTTTTTCACGTTAAGATGTAAACCAAAACGAGGCCCTTCCTCCATAATCAGCTGCAGAACCTTCCCCACCACCAACGTGTCACCAATAACAGTGCTCTTATCCAAATACCAAGCCTGCAAACATACATCAAAGCATCTTTTATTTTACACACCAGGGGTTGTAAAACCAAAGCAAAATGCAGATGACCAAAGGGATCACCCTGCTGCACCCCCTAAGATGACCATAAGGTGTGGTCCCTGTTTAGGGTGAAAATACCCTAAGACACGTGGCCCAATAAAGGCTTGACACGTGTCAATCTTTCAGCGGTCTGCAAAGGCCCAATTCCTTTGCAGACACGTGTCCCTTATACCCTAATTGAGGTACAGTTCTCCCTTACTATAAATAGTAAGGGTAGACCTCATTTATGACATACATTAATTGCAACCACAAAAAAACCAAACAAAGCCCAAACCTACTGAAACGCTCTCGAACCGAGAATCTTTTACTGTTCTTATTCCACTTCGAAAAGATACTAACTTAATCTTCGGAGGCGGAACTCCCACCCCCCATCCGGAGTCTCCGTTACTTGTGCAGGTACAGGCGTAAGAAGGAAGTCTGCTAGGTGCAGGTACAGGCGTAAGAAGGAAGTCTGCTAGGAAATTGTAACTCTCCCGAAGGACACATAGAAAACCCCCAAACAGTCCCCATAATACAATTTGGCTGGATTAGAATAGCAAAATTCAACCCATCGTGAAATGCCCGGGAAAGGACGACGAACTTCACTTAACATGACCGCACGATCAACTAGATTGAAGGCATTTTAAAAATCCACCAACAACATAGAAAGACCAACATCAGAACCACGATCCTCAATCAACCGATTCACAGCATGAAGAATTGCCTCACCACCTGAATAAACCAAACACCAAATTGAAGACCATCAAAGTAACTTCCTAAAGACTGGACAACCATAACATCACCCACCTTCAAAACCAGACACCGCCAAACAGTACCCACAGCTATAGGACGAATACCACCACCGGGCTTGACAAGTGGTGTAAGAGGAGCACTAGAAATATACTCTCCTAGTTCCATAGGACATCTTCCAGCTAGAAAGAGATTAACCACCACGAAAATAGAGTCAAGTAACTCATCCGAGACAGCCACAGTTGCACCACTCAAGCAATCCATAAGGTGTTGAGCACGTAAACCGTCACTACCACATGATATGCCACGTGGAAAACTCTTAATCCGATCCAAAACAACAGCGAGTAGTAACGAGATGAAGGTGATTAACAAGTAATCAGGTAAGGATGGAGCTGGAGAAGTAGGGTGTTTAGAGTCTTTAGGCCGTATACCCGCGAGAGTGACCTCATTATAAGGAGAAACTCCTGAAGAATAAAGAACCCGGACTGTAGCGGTGTAATGGCCATCACAAATCTTCCTACGACACTGCTTGATATTACGCTCCTTCAAATCAAATATCCCTCACAAGCTGCAAACTACCACCTGGTGCACTCCAAGAACAAATAGCACTAGAAATACTCTCTTCTTGATGCCGACGTTTTACCGAAGACCTAGACTTAGAGCTGCTTCGCGGACGAAAGGTTTTAAGGGTGCAAAGTTGTAACACCAACAAAGAGACCTAACTAGAAATGTCATCAGGCTTAGAGTTGACCTTATCAAGAGCACCTTTTAGAACCCGAGAAAACCCCAAACGACACTTGGGAAGGATAGACTTCACAGTACGAAACCCCTTAGAGATCAAACAATCAAGAAGAGTCACATCAAAACCACAATGGTGATCTTGCACCAAAGATCACAAAGATGCTTGATAAGAGAACTTCTAGTAAGGCCATTTCCACCTCCATCTTGACAAGCACTAAGACCCACAATGGGACAATGAAATCTCACAATGGCAGACGACATGGTTACACCCCCGCCACCACCAAAACACTACTGTAGAAACCACCCCCACCTGCCACAACCTACACCCACAAAACCAAAATGCAACAAGAATAAAGGCAGTAGACAAAGAATAAAAAACTCATACTGCAATTTCTTAAACAAAGCCCTAAACCACCTACCTTTATGAGCCAAAACCTATCCCTGAACCGCCAGGAAAACAGAACCGTTGACGGAAATGTTGTCGCCTGAAAAACAAAGCCGTTGACGGAAAATGATGAAATCGTGTAGAAAACCCATGCGAAAAACCAAGAATATAGGAACCAAAAAGATAAGAATCCTAGAACCAAAAAGAGAAGACTGAACCCACCCCTTGCACTGCCTAGCCGAGCTGCTGCCGGAAAACGAAACCCCTATCGGAACTACGTAGAAAACAGGCGCCGGAGAACAACCCTTTTCGGAAAATGACATTGATACTGATGACCCCCCCAAACCTAATCGCCTAACGGGAGAGAATTTTAATTTATTGTTATTATTTTTACGGTTATTTCACCAAATGCCACTGAACACTTTAATAATTCACCAAATGCCATCGGGGTTTTCAAAATTCACCAAATGCCGCTGACAAACAGTATAATGTCATGTCATGCCATTAATGAGGTGTGGCCGTTAGTTCTCCACTAATGCAAATTGACGATTTTGCCCTTATTGTGTTTAATGGCGCCATAAAGTCTTTTGACTCCCTGAATTGACCTAATAACTTATTAATTTAAAAATTGAGGTCTCAAAGTATTCATCATCTCTACCTTCTCTTTTCTTCATGAAAAGTCTTCATCAGTCAACTCTGCTCTAAGTCTAAAATTTGATCAGCAATCGCAAGTATCACGAAGTAGTAATTGTGGTTGTATTTGAGGGAACTAAAATCGTTGTTCGCAAGGAGGGGAGCAGTGGTGGTGACTCAAAGCTTGAAAAGTGTTCTAACGGTTCCAAACTACCACGCAAGGTAACACTATGTCCATCGATCTTTAATTCGAGTACTGATTTTGCTATTTTTTTCGATAACCGAATTAGGGTTAGGGTTTTTTTTGAAATGATCAATATGGAATGGTTGGATGAGTTAAATGTAATGATTTAATATTTAAAATCATGTTATTTACTGAATTATGGGTTTGACTTTGGCAAATGTCTTTATTTGTATGTTAGGGTTACACTTTTCTCTGATTTTGATTCATTCAAATGAGATTTTTTGACTGTTAGAATGAAATGTGGTTTGGCATGTGTGTGTGTGGATGTAAATTGTGTGTGTGTTGACAGTTGAGTAACTTGTTAATTTTTGTTGATAGGATGAGTAAAGTGTGGCTGGATGTCCATTATAGAGATGGTGGTTTTGATGTGTTGATTGATGATACAGGTTAGACTAGTTTAATGGATTTGTATGAGTTTATGTTTAAGGACTCTGTGAAGTAAAATGTGTACCTCCCTAAATACTTTGCTTTGCTTGTTAACAAACCTAGATTTAATAGGAAATGGGAGTTATATGTTGATGCTGATATGTGGAAAATGTGGGAGTGGAATGTGGGTAAGGAAACAATAGAGGTATTATTAGAGGAAAGGGAAAGTTTTGGTTTAGTGTTTAAGTATGCTGAAGCTAGTTGACAAAGAAGGATACAACAGAAAGTTGAGAGGGATAAGTTAGAGCAGGAAAAAAAAAAAGAGGTTAGCTGAAGAAGAAGGAGCTGAGAGGGAGCTTGCTCAACAAGAAGCTTACACTGTTGCTGTAGAGGTTCCTGTGGTTGATGCTCAGGACTCAGGAATTGAGTTTGTAAGAGTGTTTAAACTCCAGTAGTTGATGAGGTTTTCCTAGGCCCATCCCAGCCTCATGCAGAACAAAGTTCTCAGCCAGAAAACAACTCTCAACCCTCAACTCCATCAAAACATTCTCAACCCACCTCTCCTCTTAACCAGGCTAGAACAAAAAACTGTTAGGAAGAAAATGACACCTAGGAAAAGAAAAAACCTCAGCAAAAACAAAACCAACAACTGTTGAACGAGAAAAGACACCACCACCTCCTAATGCATCTGTTAGAACACCACCACAACCTTCTCCAAACCCTGAAAAAGCCCCACCACAAATGCCATAACCTTCTCCACACCCTAAAACAGTCCCACCACAAACACCACAACCTTCTCCAAACCTTGAAATAGCCCCACCACAAATAGTACCACCTTCTTCAAGCCCATCTACTGCAGAATCTACAACTGCTTGTCCTGATAAACCTAAGAAGGGGGGTAGATCTAGACCCTTAGGATTTAGAACAAAAAGAGTGCTGGAAAAAAGGTTGCTGAGGGAAGTAAGGAGCAAGCTGTCAGTCTAAGGAGATTAGGAAGAAATAGGAGGTCAGCAGCTAGGGTTGAGACAAGTGATGACAGTTCTGAGGATGATAGATCTGGTTATGATGATAGTGAGGATGACGTTTACATAGAATTTGGCAGTGAACCAGATGATGATGATGCTAATCTTGTTGACTTCATAGAGGATGAGGAAGAAGTTGAATGCTTATGATGACGTTCCTGAGAAGCGGTTTGAGGATTACCTTGATTGGAGTTCAACTATGGATAAGACTTATAAGAATGGCAAAGTCTGGACTCATCAAGAATTTGGAGCCATTAAACTAGAGCCCTGGTTGATCCTTGCAGACAGAGAATCATTTATTGATGTATTTAAGGATTATTGTGTACAGGAAAGGTTTGGTGTCTTTGTTGAAAAGAGTGACATACTGAGGTATATAACAAGATGTGCTATAGATTCATGCAACTGGAGAATTCATGTTTCTACAATGACTGACAAAGTCAGCTGGGCAATCAAGACACTAATAGGGGAGTATACAACTTATGGTAGACTGGAGATTAACCCTATTGTGAGTTTTGATTAGCTTTGCAAACATCTACAATCAGATATTCAAGCTAACCATGACATTCCAGTAGAGTCTTTACAGAGAATCTGTATGGAAAGGTTTAGGATTCAAGTTAAAAAAAGGTTGTTTTACATGGTGAAAGCTATGGCAAAGGCGATTATACATGGTGGTTTTGGAGAGGCCTACTCCCTTCTTCCTAGGTATGCTGAGATGGTGAAACCAACCAACCTAGGGAGTTATGCTCAAGTGACATGGACACAAGGTTCTGCAAATGTGCAACCTAGATTCAAGGCTTGCTTTTTTTCTTTTGCTGCCAAAGTTAGGGGTTTTTTGACAGGTTGTAGACCAATTATTGGTATTGATGGGGCCCATCTCAGTGGATATTTTAAGGGCATTTTGTTAACAGCAATTGAAATTGATGGGAACAATGAGATTTTTGTGATTGCTTATGGCATAGTTAATATAGAGAGTATTGACACTTGGGGTTAAAATATGAGGAATTTGAAATGTCTTTTTGAGAAGAAGGGTTGCAACAGAGATGATAGGACCTTTATTTCTAACAGGATGAAGGTAAGCATTCATTCACTTAAAATCTGGTTAATTTTTAACAATTTCATGCACATTTTAGCTTCTAAACTTGTAATATGTTCATGCAGGGGGTTGATGTAGCAGTTCATGAAACATTTCCTAGAGCAACTAGAAGAATCTTCTGTCAGCACTTGTACATGAACTGCAAGAACAATGGATTTAGTGGAACAGCTTTTCACAAGCTCTTTTGGATTGCAGCTGATGAATACAATGCATATGTGTTTAATAAAGCTATGGAGAAGATTCATGACTACAATCCAAAAGTTGTTAAGTACTTGGAGAATCGCAATGAGGTTTGGTCAAGGCATCAGTTTGATACAGCACTTTGTTGTGCTCATAACACAACCAATTTTGTTGAATCATTCAACTCCTACACCAAGCCATATAGAGATCTACCAGTTCTAAAACTTCTTAAAGGTAATTAAATACAGTTATGATTTGTTATTGTATGGTGAAATGCATTTGTTGTCTTGCTGACCTATAAATGGTTTCCAATTTTCAGCTATTAGGCAATGGTGCATGAAGAGGATGGCTCCAATCTTTGATAAAGCAACAACCATAGGGGATAGGGAGCTAACTGAGTATGCAACCAAGATCCTGCAAACAAGATCAGATGAGTCCAGGTTCTGCTATGCAGCACCATGTGGTGGTGATGAGTTTAAGGTGAGGGACCAACATGTGCATTTTCCTATCAAGCTAGGGACTGGAACTTGTGGTTGTGGGAAGTGGAAACATTCAGGGATCCCATAAAAACATGTGCTGATGGTGATTTACCACCAGAGGCTACAACCTGAAGAATTTGTATCTCCTTATTTCAAAGGGAGGGCATACAAAAGCACTTATGCAGAGCATATGCACCCAATGCCTGACCCAAGTCAATGGCCATCATTCAGCCTCCCTGACATACTTCCACCACTGGTGAAAAGATCTGCAGGTAGACCAAAAAAGCAGAGAAGAAAAGGGCCAAATGAAGCAAGGAAAGGGAAGAGGCATAGCACAGTTAAGTGCATCTTATGCAATGAGTTGGGCCACAACATGTTGACATGTGCAACAAAGAAAAGGAATGCAACAAATGAAGCAAGCACTTCAAACACCAAGAAGATAGCAAAGAAAGCTGCATGAAGTCCAAACCCCTCCCCTTTTGAATGCACTACAAAATTGTATATGGAATCTAGTTTTTGAACATTAAAAGTCAACTGTGTGTTGTGTTGTGTGGTTTTTTTTTTTTTGACATATTCTCTGCAATTTTTTGGGCATCTGATGTAAACAGGAAAGCAATTTTTTGTGAACATGATTTAAACAGGAAGCAATTATGCTTAAATGAATGTTCAATTTCCCACTTTATTCAATTTCATTGTAATTATAATAGTTCACTTCATCAATTACAATCACAACTATTACACACATCAGTACACCTAATTTCATAACAGAATTGAGAACTTTTTGCTGCTGCTTCACTTTCTTCTTCAATTGCTCCAATTCATCATGCAAATTGCTATGTCCTGACCCATCCCTTTCATAACAGCTTCCCCTACTTTGACCTTCTTCCAGCTGATAAACTTTGCACCATTTGAAGCTATTACATGAATCACACTTGTAATAACGCCTTTGTGGATTAGATGTTGACTCCGAGCTTCTAATTGCATATTTTCTACCACAATTGCAAAATTTGTTTGGAACTCTTACATATGCATACTCATGTATTGAGGAGAATGTGTTTGAAATCAAACTCATGATTATGCAAATAGAGGGCTTCTATGTGTGTTCTCAGTGTCAAATTTATACAGGAAATTGGGTGTAACGGCTAGTTTAATTTAACCCGAAAAAAAAATTTAAAAATGGTGAAACTAACTAGCCGTTATAACTCATTAGTTTAGAGGTATATTGTGTAATAATTACAGAAGCAATGGCACTTCATGAAAATTTTAAATTAGTCAGTGGCATTTGGTGAATTAAGAATTGCAGTAACGAAGAACTAACGGCTAGACCTCATTAATGGCATGACATGACATTATACTGTTTGTTAGTGGCATTTGGTAATTTGAAAACTCTGATGACATTTGGTGAATTATTAAAGTGCTCAATGGCATTTGGTGAAATAGCCGTTATTATTATTATTATTATAAATAGAGTTCGAGGTATGTGACAGCGCGATAACCAAGTTTAGATAATAATAATAAGATAAAAGTTCATAATAGTTTTACGTGGAAATACTTTAATTTGGTTTATATATAATAAGTAAAAAGATAAAAGAAAATTGTTGCATCCCAATAGATGATGATAATGTAATTTTGTTGAATGTTAAGTCATTAATATGAAACTTGTTCTTTTCTACTAATTATGTCACTAAAACTCAATCTTGTGACATCTGAGATTCAAATGCTGAGGTATTATATATTTAGTCATGTAGTATTATCTCTAGGAGTATTTTTTTTTTTTTTAATTGCAAGTAGAAGCAAGTCAAAAGTACGTAACTACTACGCCATCTTTGGGTTGAAATTTCTTCGAATTAGTAGTATAATAGTCCATACTAGTTATGGTAGTTTTGTGTATACTACTCTTTTTGGTTCTCAATAAATGTACTAACATTCATCTTTCTAAAGTTGTTATAATGGACTTCAAAATCTACTCACTTTGTTGACATGTGTCAATGCGTGCAACGCAATTCTCATTGTATGTTAAAATATTTCTTGAATTAATTAGCTCCTTAGATGATTAATATAGAAGTCTTATTGTTCGGTCAACGAATTAGGGTAGGGCAACACGCATTGAGTAAAAGCTTATTGTGTACTTCGCTATTCGGGTAAGATTCAATGTGTCTTCATTATTATTTTATTATTTTAGTTCCTATTATTTGATTTGACCCTTTTTGTTTTTGGCAATTAAGAGATCAATCACTTATTTAAAAAAATATATATACATATTTTTATTATTTGATTTGAATGCAAGAAAAATTTTATACTTTTAGGAAAAATACATAAATCAAAACATCAAAACGTAAAATTGTATAGGATAAATCCTGCTAAAGTATCTTACTATTGTACTCATCAAGATACACACCCTCGCCCTCATCGTCAATAAGCTAAACATGGTTAATCTTAACCCAAAAGTTGATGAACAACTGCAAAGAATCGCTCTAGCTCAACCCAATCTAGGTTAGACCATACACTATAAATACTCCCAAGCACATATACCACATACAAGCTAGGGGTTGAACAATGCCTCTCTCAAGAAATTGAATCCTATAGCATTTCACTTTTGTTGTTAAAAATAAAAAAATAAATAAAACCCTACTTTCCACTTTTCTCCCTCTAAATCTCAATATCTCCTTAAGCATCCAGGGGTGGGTTCTTGAAGCTACCCCCGAGGGAAGTTCATGTTTGCTCCCTTAGCTTGCTCGTACCGTTAGTCCGTTAAGATCCAATCATCTCCATTAACGAATACTGAAAATAATAGTCATGTGAGGCCTTGATTGATTCATTGTGATTTGTTGTAATGCAACATCAGCTATAAGGCTATTGTTGCATTAGATAAGATTACCTTGTGTCAAGTTTTTTATTTATTTTTTATTTTTAATAATCACATTCGGGTTAATGCAAAGCTAGCTTAGTGAAGCAGTGGCCTAGAGCCATTACATTAGGTCTATTGTGACAGAAGTGCTCTATTGCAATGGATTTGGATATTGTTTTAATCCTAAAATGTAGTAGTGATGGGTATGGGGTAGGGATGGGATATTATAAAAAAGTATAAAAGTAAACAATTTTATTTTTTAAATATAAAGATGTGGGTATGGGGTAGGGATGGGGCGTGTATGAAGTGGGGCAGGTGGGGCGGGTACAACCTAATATCCACCCCTTTCCCATCACCCATGGCGGGTATGGTTTTTATCCCCATCCCCGCCCCACCATCCGCCAAACTGGGACCCATTGGGCCTCCTACTTGACTCGCCCCATTGACATCCCTAAACTCACTCAACTAATTATACATAATACTGATTAATTAGGATTGTTACCATCTTCATGTAATTTTCATGTATTCAAAATCTAGAAGCTTTCCTTTATAAATTTAAACCGACTTCTATATATATAATTTAAAATCAGGGAACTCAAAAGATTATCGTCCTTACATTCTAACAATGTATCACATGAGAAAAAGCCAATAGTTAAAGTCTTAATTATAAACATGTACTTTGTAATCTAATTGGTCATCTATTGCTGTTAAATAATAAGGCCAAATTCGGTCACAAATGTGGAAATAATCTAAAAAAATTTGCATCAAGAACGATTTCCCTAATAGCAGCCGCGTATCCAACCACAACCAACACGAAGAAAAGACCCATTACGACTAAGTTTGCCCAAAAGATGAAGGAACGCATTGAAGGCCTAAATGTGATGTTATAGAATATAACAGGCAAAGCAAAGTCGAGTGGAAGAAACCCGAAAGCTCCGATGATTCCCATTATATCTCCAAAAAATGGTAATACTGCTGCTAGAAAGGTTGCTGAGGCGACGAATATGAACCTTGATAAAACCCTAGGGATCACATTCCGTTGAGAAAACGGGTGGCTTTTTGGATCACTTAATAGGTTCTCTAGCACTTCATTTGTGGGTTGCATGTATACCTACAACAACATATTTGTATCTTATTTATAATCTTAGTAATATTGTTCAATTTGGTCATTCTGATTTACTACGGTTGTTTTAGATATTTTGTATATATAAATAATGGATTGGATTGGAGTTGAAAGGAGTTCTTACCACACCAAAAGCGGCTAGTTGAAAGGTTACAAAGGTAATAGTCATGATAACAAACCACCTAGGTAACAAAGGGTTACCATTCACGACAAAGTTGCTCAAAATTTGACCGTGAGATTTGTTCCCAAATGCCCAATAACCGGACACGGCTACACTGAATATGGTTGCTAATACTATGGTGTAACAAAGAATTAGTCCTTTGAACATCTTCTCCTTCACCGGCGGTACTATTGTTGCCTAAAATTATTTAAAACAACAATCAATTAGTGAGTTAAAAAAACATCAGTAGTTATGTTACACAAAGTAAGTAGAACTTATATGTGGCGCATACATAAGTACAAGCATTAAATTTGAAGAATCATACACAGATTAATAAAATATCCACTTTTTTCCTCTTTTATTTTTATTTAGTATTCGTTTATGAGTGATGAAATAATGTGTTATTTTATATTATTAACATTATTTTATCTATCTAGTTTTAGCTTTTTTAATTGCAGAGTCTTAAAAGCTACACAAATCAATTTCCAATAAAATTATATAATGAGTACTCATGAGGCATTACATCCTTTATTTCATATTGATTGTTGTTAGTTTAAAGTTATAAGTAACATACTAAGATTAAGTAATACATTGCTACTAAAATAAAGCAATATCATGTGTAGTGCTTTTGGATTTTTTTTTTTTTTTTAATATATATAAAAACAAACATTATGTCGTATACTCCCTCCGTTTCATAATGTTGGTCCCATATGGAATCAATTACATAAAATAAGAAAATAGGAATATTTGGAATCTAACATTAAAGTACAAAATAATTCATCATAATTAGTTTACCTTATTTAAGTTTTTGATTTTTTTTTTGGGAAAAGCATAAGTCATGATGCATAATCCAAAAAAATTAAGTTAAAAATGGAACATATTCAATATGGATAGATTTTTGTAAAGGAAAATTTAACAGGAATAATCCAACCTTTTGTCCGTTCTCACATATTAATCCCACCTTTTGATTATTCCTCATTAATCCAACCTTTGCCCCCCTTCTTCCCATATCACACCTTGCAGGTCACCTTACCCTTTCAACCGGTTACCCATCCACGTGGCACTTCCTAATTGGCCAATTTTTTATTTTTAATTTAAAAATAATATATTTAATTAAAAATAAAAATAAAAAAAATTCTCTGAACTCCTTCCCCTTTTTCCTTCCCTAACCTTTCTCACTCTTCTCCCTCTTCATTCGCCCTTCCTGATAACAACCACCATCACCCCGCCCCCACGCCGCCCTGCCATTAACCCTCCTATTACCTCGCGTCTACACCCAACCCACCCCTTCTCGGTATTGTCGCTGCTACGTCCTCTCTTTTTCTTCTCTTTTTGTTTCAATTCATCACCACCATTAAAGTTTTCAAGTGTGAGGTTTTGATGGTTAAATTTAACCATGATAACTCTAGATCTAGTGTTTTCAAGGTTAAATTTAACTAAATAAAACCATAATTGAAGTTTTGAAAGGTAAGTGTGGGGTTTTTCGGGGTGGTTTGGGGTTTTAAATTTGTGTGATTTGGAGTTTGCAGTGGTTGTGTTGTGGTTCGTGCCTTCATGGTTAGTGAGGTGGTGAGGTTCGTGGTGTTGATAGGTTTTGGTGGGTGTGGGTTATAGCTTGTGGTGGTTGTGGTTCGTGGCGGCAGGGAATGGTGAATCTTGTGATGGTGTGTTGAGGTTGGTGGGTAAGGAAGGGGAAGGGAGGTGAGGTGTTAAACTGGTAATGGAGAGGAGAGGAGAAAGAATGAAGCTAAAGAGAAGGGTTGGTGGTGGTGGGTTGGTAGTTTCGGCTAGGTCAGGTTAGTGGTTTTGAGTCTAGGTGGGAGTGCGGGAAGGGTTTTGGGTCTGGGTTTGGGTAAGTGGGTTAAGTGGTGGCGGAGGTGGTGGTGGTGGCTAAGGTGCGGGTGATTGCAAGAGGGTGGCACGTGGCTGGCTAGCTGGTTGACAGGAAAAGGAGGGAGTAGTGGAACGGCTTGTTTGACAAGGAAATAGGGTAGGTTGACGGTGAAGTGAGGTGGTGGCGGGAAGGTGTAGTTATGGCTGTTTTGGTGCTAGTGGTGGCCAAAGGTGTAGTGGTGGTTGTTTTTGGTGTAAGGTGGTCAAGGGTGGTGAACGGAGGTGGAGCTTTAGGTGGTGGTAATGGAGGAGGAGGATGGAAAATGGTAAGAGGAAGGATAGGGAAAGGGATGACCTGTTGTTTAGGTAACCGGTCATTTGGGTGTGATATGGGAAGAAGGGGGGCAAAGGTTAGATTAATGAGGAATAATCAAAAGGTGGGATTAATATGGGAGAACGGACAAAAGGTTGGATTATTCCCGTTAAATTTTCCTTTTGTAAAACGTCCAAAATAGTATATGGGATTAACATTATAAAATGGAGGGAGTATAATTCATGACACATCTTCCATAATTCTTATTATGAAAGAAATAGAGTGAGCTTGCGTGCAAACAAGAGTTAAAATAATACAAAACCTGAATTTCAGGAATCATTCCATTTCCAAAAGTTGTTGCGATGATTGCAATAGCACTAAAAACACCATATATGCGATCCTTCGTCTTTCCAACTACTGAGTAATCTGTTTTTGATTCTTCGGATGCATTATTATTTATCCCTACATGAAATACAAAAATTTAGCTTTAAAATTTTAGGGGAAAAAAAATAAAATTAGAAGCTATAAGAACTTCAATTATGGCCATAAATATGGGTGATTGATTAAATTCCAAATATTGGTCACATACATGTACGGAAAATGATATACCAGTATGCGACATTAGAGATTTAGTACAAATCAAATATCTTTGACATTGATCGACACATGAATTTGTCAAAAAATTCTAAATTAATTAATACAATAAGAAGATTGTATATAGTTTTTGTATACTACATAGTATACGAACATACAGTCGTAAGAAATTCTAAATTAATTAATACAAAAGTAAGATTGTATATAGTTTTTGTATACTACAAAGTATACGAAAATAAAGTCGTGAGAATTGCATATATTATTACCGCAAGTCATTTACCTACGTAGATGGAAGCAGCAGTAGTACAAGCACTATATGCAAGGCACAAGATGAGTGAAGTTAAATTGATATGCCTTAATGAGTGAAATGACGGCATTTGAGCTAAAATTAGCATTAGTCCGCCAAATACTATAACAAAATATCTGAGCTTCATCTCTCCATCTGGATTTGTTAATAGGTAGATAGCCTACATAATCAAATATGTTAAGTAAGATTATTAATATATAAGGTCTTTTTCCTAATGTAAATTTAAACGAAGTAGCAATGTAACAACTAAATTTACCTTTCATAAGTTGTTTATATCAAAATAGGCTAATCCTCTTGTAATTACCAATTATTTTAGGGTGGAACATCACTTGGGCTGTATTAGTGGGCTTTTCTTTCCTCCTCTAAATCATCATTCCTAACAAGTGATCCATAGTTTTAAATTTGGGTCATGTCTAATTCACTTGATATTTACTGAATTTAAATAATTTTATTGAAACGAAACTATTTTCATTAAAATTAGATTATTTTTGTTCAACCTAATTACTTTTGCTGATTAAAACTAGTTTTACTTATGTCCTTTTAAGTTCTTTCAACATAATTCAAATAAAGGAAATTTTCTCCTTAATAAAACAATAATTTAGTAAAAATAACTTAAGTTCAATAATATATGCGATCCCATTAATGTGCATACCGTACAACAACTCTTTTTCTTTCTTAGTAGTTTCCATTCCATTTCCTTTCTAATATTCATACCAAAAAAACCTTATAAATTTATAATTCTAAATGTACACTAGTATTTTATTAGGTGATTTAATTTGTCATAATCTTATAATTCTTTACCACTACGTTAAGGAAAAACAAACCTACCTTGATACATTGCCCACCCAGAAGACAAGCAGCAACAACTGAACCATAGCACACTGCGAGTTGGATTGGACCCACAAAATACTTTCCCCAGCTTGGGCCTACAAGATCGAGTTCACATTATGGGCTTGCTCATGTCTTGTAATTTTTGAAGACCTAAAATTAATGAATTGTTGATAGTGATATTTGAACTATTATTATTTTTGAATGGTAGTGATATTTGAACTAGTATTGTGATAACTAAATTTGAACAAAAATAATAATTTTATTATATTTCGGTGTTATACTAGCATTCACTACATTGTTACTAGGTCGTATTGGAGCAATCGAAATCTTGACTATCTAGTAATGTAGAAAGAAGTGGTAAACATACCTAGAATATCATGAGCCATAGCCCGAAAATGAAGTTGACGACGGCCTAATTGAGCATGGTGTTCGAGGACCAACGACAAGAGCGTGTATGAGTAAAAGGTGACCAATGCTCCTGCTGAAAGGCACAAGAGACCACCACCCCAGCCTAGAAAGGAAAATGCATATGGAATACTCAACAATGGAGGTGCAACTATTGATGTTGTTAGGTGGTAGCTACTATGCAACCATGATCCTGTCACAATTATAAATCAAACACCTCTATTATCATCATAATGAAGTCATCTTTGAAAGTATACATTTTAATTTCCTCTAAACATTTTTTATTGACACATTTTCCTTATCATGTTTGTCATTTTTTTTATCTACAATGCATAAGTTCAATGATCCTAAATATACATGTATAAAAATTTAAAAAAGTTGATATTGGAAGAAAATGATTTTTTTGTTTTTTTTTTTTTTTTTTTTTTTGAGTACATGTTCTTACTTTCACATCATATTCTTTCCAATACGGACCCTCCCCCCCCCCCTTTTTTTTTTTTTCTTTTTTTTGCATGTAGATCACATGTATTCTTTGACTTTTAACAGTATGTTCCTTTAATATTATTGGGTTTATATTCTTTCATTTCAACTCTTACAGTATGTTCTTTTAGGATTCATATTTGATTGTTTTAGCTCTTATCTTTGTGGTAATTTTATTCAAATTTTCCATATAATTTCTTTATGTTCATTCTTTGGATGCACAATGAACACTTTGCACCTAGGTGCACAAACCAATAATTGCTTAAAAAAGGTTGAGAGAGGGAACGAGTTCATAGAAATTTAGTATTTTTCTGTTTGCTCTTATTTATATTACAAAATTCCACCCGTATTATTATGCACTATTAATCTGGTGCGACACAATTCTTCAAAAAAATTATATTAATCATTATTATTCTTTATTCAGAAAATGTGTACTCATTTCATTAATTTTTAAAAGAAAAATATATTTAATTTCGAAACTTAAAAAGAAGAAAGAAGAATGTCATTATAAGTTTAACCAAGAAATTTTTCCATAGAAAGTTGGCACTTATCTATCAATAATGCCAACACGAATATGATTTCATGTTTTATTATATATATATAAATAATAATGGGCATGTAATCCATGTGTTAGCCTTTGAAGTTTGTGTTTTCAATTGTTTTATGAGCACTTTATCATTTTAAATTGTTCTTTTTTTAAGCTCAATGAGGGTTGTTCAGGTGTACATGTATCAAATGATAAATGTATGTATTATAGTATACTTACCCTTAGATTCAAGAACAATATTAGAATAAAAGACATCAAATTCTTTTTTAGGAGGAAGAGGAACTTCACGCCATTGTTTAGAATCCATTTCAAATCCTTCTAGTGGGACTACTGATGAACTTCGAAAGAACTTTAACATGCTTACACTTTTTTTGTTTTCTTCTCCCGCAAGTAATTTATATATGATGAGATAACAAATAGCAAGCAAGGAGAAATTTTAGTAATAAATTGCAAGCATGTAGAAATTTAAGCTTAAATGTAATGGAATAAATTTGTGTAATTTAAGGGTTTTCTAAAGATATAAATTCAAGATTCCTACAATAAAAAACAATAGGAAATCTTGGAGATTTGTTAGGAGCTTGGAGAGATCCCTTAGAAATAAGTTATTCTCCAAGCACCAAAATTTTGAAGGTTCTAAACGCCAAATGAAGGGGCGAGTCATTAATATAAATATTAATGGAATAATATCTAACTTTAGGATTTAGATTTGTACAAATATTTTGAGGTAGTTATTTAGAAGATAGAATCAAGGGAGGAGAGAGGTCAAGGGAAAACCTTATAATAATAAAGAGTTCTCAATTTACATTTTGATATATATAAAAGATGTATTTGTGGAAAAGCTACTTTTACAACTATTTAAATTTTTATAATTTATTCCTTCATAATGCTAAAAAATTTGTGGTGACTAGTTACTATTGTAAAATAAGGTGTTTTCAAGCAAGGCTACAAAAATAAGAGAACAATAAGATCGAAAAGTTGATCTTATAATCAATTGAACAAATATGGTGTGCCGTGATGCAAATCACTGACTTGAAAATGAAATTCTGGCGCAACCGTGGTGCTCAATTGTATTCGCCAGCACGTTCCCTAAGGTTAACACACCACTCTCATACAAATGCACTTTTGGATGAGAGGTTGGAGTCATATAAACTTATGTCCAGAAAGAGGAATGTGTTTAGCTTAATGTGTTTGGATGTAATCTTGTTTATGTACGTAGCATGTATATATCTCTGATTATTTTCACTACACGAAAAGAGCAAATTGGCAACGGTTCAAACCCCCCCAAAGGTAACGGTTTTGAACCGTTGAGTATTTGAGGGTTGCCAAATCCCAAAAAAATTGGCAACGGTTCAAAACCGTTGCCAACTCAAGAAATTGGCAACGGTTAACCGTTGGCATTGACCATGGTGCCCTTTTTTTTAAAAAAAAAAAAAGTAATTGGCAACGGTTAACCGTTGCCAAAGACAATGGCGCGCCTTTTTTTTTTTTTTTTTAAATATTGGCAACGGTTAACCGTTGCCATTGACCTGTATTCTTTTTTTTTTTTTTTTGGCTGCACTAATATTGACCTGTTTTTTGTTTTTTTTTTGCTGCAATATTATTAATATTATAATATTATTATTATTAATAATAATAATTATTATTATTATTAATTATTGTTATTATTATAATATTAATATTAATATTAATAATAATAATTATTAATATTATAATAGTAATAATAATAATAATTATTATTATGATAATAGTAACAATAATTAGTATTATTAATAACAAAACATAAATAATTAATAATAACAATCGCAAGAGATGATATAAATTAGAAAAATGTTTCATGTATAGTACATAATTAATAAGCTAAGGCTAGGATTGATGAAGAGATGATTTAGTACAAAAATGTATGACGATATTTACAAATTAAATGTGATGTAGGTCGCCAACATCTCCCGAATTACATGGAGTTCCTCGCTCATGTATGGATGTCCCGTTTGCCCCTTGCAAAACTTAGAATACACAAAACGTGAGTTAGTAGAAGTGAATTAATAATAATTGGGGTTAGTTAAATGTGACTAATGCTTGAGATTACAAGAAAAGAGCAAGTAAGAGGTTTTGGGACGCAATTTCAACCAAAATGGCTCAAGTAAGGCCATTTTGGCTACTAGGATGCCTATTTTCTATAATTCTTGTCTATTGAACTCATAACTAGTTAAAACATTTCATAATCACTTAGTTATAGGTGCCTAATGCTTGAGATTACAAGAAAAGAGCAAGTAAGAGGTTTTGGGACGCAATTTCAACCAAAATGGCTCAAGTAAGACCATTTTGGCTACTAGGATGCCTATTTTCTATAATTCTTGTCTATTGAAATCATAACCAGTTAAAACATGTCATTATCACTTAGTTATAGGTGACTAATGCTTGAGATTACAAGAAAAGAGCAAGTAAGAGGTTTTGGGACGCAATTTTAACCAAAATGGCTCAAGTAAGGCCATTTTGGCTACTAGGATGCCTATTTTCTATAATTCTTGTCTATTGAACTCATAACTAGTTAAAACATGTCATTATCACTTATTTAAATGTGACTAATGCTTGAGATTATAAGAAAAGAGCAAGTAAGTGGTTTTGAGACGCAATTTCAAGCAAAATGGCTCAAGTAAGGCCATTTTGGCTACTAGGATGCCTATTTTCTATATTTCTTGTCTATTGAACTCATAACTAGTTAAAAAATGTCATTATCACTTAGTTAAATGTGACTAATGCTTGAGATTACAAGAAAAGAGCAAGTAAGAGGTTTTGGGACGCAATTTCAACCAAAATGGCTCAAGTAAGGCCATTTTGGCTACTAGGATGCCTATTTTCTATAATTTTTGTCTATTGAACTCATAAATAGTTAAAACATGTCATTATCACTTAGTTAAATGTGACTAATGCTTGAGATTACAAGAAAAGAGCAAGTAAGAGGTTTTGGGACGCAATTTCAACCAAAATGGCTCAAGTAAGGCCATTTTGGCTACTATGATGCCTATTTTCTATAATTCTTGTCTATTGAACTCATAACTAGTTAAAACATTTCATAATCACTTAGTTATAGGTGCCTAATGCTTGAGATTACAAGAAAAGAGCAAGTAAGAGGTTTTGGGACGCAATTTCAACCAAAATGGCTCAAGTAAGACCATTTTGGCTACTAGGATGCCTATTTTCTATAATTCTTGTCTATTGAAATCATAACTAGTTAAAACATGTCATTATCACTTAGTTATAGGTGACTAATGCTTGAGATTACAAGAAAAGAGCAAGTAAGAGGTTTTGGGACGCAATTTTAACCAAAATGGCTCAAGTAAGGCCATTTTGGCTACTAGGATGCCTATTTTCTATAATTCTTGTCTATTGAACTCATAACTAGTTAAAACATGTCATTATCACTTAGTTAAATGTGACTAATGCTTGAGATTATAAGAAAAGAGCAAGTAAGTGGTTTTGAGACGCAATTTCAAGCAAAATGGCTCAAGTAAGGCCATTTTGGCTACTAGGATGCCTATTTTCTATATTTCTTGTCTATTGAACTCATAACTAGTTAAAAAATGTCATTATCACTTAGTTAAATGTGACTAATGCTTGAGATTACAAGAAAAGAGCAAGTAAGAGGTTTTGGGACGCAATTTCAACCAAAATGGCTCAAGTAAGGCCATTTTGGCTACTAGGATGCCTATTTTCTATATTTCTTGTCTATTTAACTCATAACTAGTTAAAACATGTCATTATCACTTAGTTATAGGTGCCTAATTCTTGAGATTACAATAAAAGAGCAAGTAAGTGGTTTTGGGACGTAATTTCAACCAAAATGGCATACCTCTTCAAGCTGACGTGTGTCTGTACAATGACTCATCACTATGTCATACATGAATCTCATCATGTATATGCCACAGTCAACTCCGTTTTCCTGTTTTGCGCACTAGCATGAGGAACAAAGCACATGAATCAAAATTCCTAGCAAATAAGCAACATCTTAAGCATTGTAAAGTAAGAAAATCACAACATCATGGGTGAATTACCTTGGGTGCTTTCCATGTAGGACCTCGAGGAGATCGAGGATTTATCTTCTTCATGGTACTACAAAAAATCAAAGTAATAAGTTCAAATTTGACTAGTATAATCAATACATATGAGTTAAGATATGAAAATGAATAACAAGAAGAGAAACAAACTAGATGCTTACTTTTGCAGTATGGACCTCACGAGGCGCTTTCTTACTTGAGGTAACCGAGCAGAATCAAAGTAGAAGATTGTGTTACTGGAAACACAAATCACAAGTAGGGTCCAATGATAACTACACACAAGACAAACAAATCAATAGTTAGCCTATTACAAAAAATAAAGTGGGAAAACAAATGAACTTGACTAGCATAATCAGACGTACTCCTCATAGTATGGGACGAATATAAACTTGTCTCCCGCACTCACTGATTGCCTGATACCCCGTTCAGCATAGTACAACACGTCAGCGGAGTTGCCTAAGATTCTAGCAGTGGACATCTGCTCAGGGCACAACCACCCAACTTGACAAGGAGATTCAAGCTCCCATATTTGCTCCTGGAGTGCTCTGCATGCATGATAACACAATGTTAATCGAAAACCAAACGACAAACACCACTAAACTGAATAATATAAATTGAGTACCAGTTGAATTACCTCATGGATATTTGAATGTGGGAAATGTTAAACATTGCACCACTTAGAAATTCCTTCACATCTTCTTTGAATAGCCATGCCGTTGCATTATCATCGTAGTGGAACATTTCCTTAGGAAGTTGGATTTGGATGGGGCTGTCATTAGGCAACACGCAAACACGGTTGTGCAAATAAGCTAACTCCTGAGATAGCAATTGAAGCACTGTGTCTTCAACTAATGGAGTAGCTTGCGTAGCTGAACCTCGTGAAGGGCTCTTCATCGACGCTTTTCCATTAACCGAGCCATGTTCACTCCTGTTCTTTGGCCCCTCCACCCTCTTCTTTGGAGTTTGGCTTTTCTTCGATGGCTAATAAGACAAATCATATAAATAGTTAGAAAATATTTCCATCCAACTCTTGGGAAGAAAAGATTAAATCGTGAAATCTAAATCTTAATTACCTGGTTCATCAACCGTATCCAAGCAGATGGCCATTTCACAAAACTACCTTTTGCTACCCAGAGTGTAGTGAACTCATCCTCCTCCACGGGCACAGGTATTAAGATGTCCTCGAACCCGGGAACCACAGAATGGATCCCGACAGAATAATGCTCAGGCAGAAAAGGTCGAAGATGGATCGTACCTTGTTCGGCCGATTGTGCACTACCATAGGCAACAACATTCAAAGGTCCATCATATGATTCGCCCGAGTGAAGAAGTTCACAACGGATCTCTTCCTGCACCAATTACAAAGATACTTCATTTACATATTCATAACTAAGTATCTTAGGTGTAATATAGGAGTTAATTCAAGCATTGAGTTAAAATCATGAAAAATGGGCAAGTCAGAACTCATTTTGCCCATTTTGAACCGTAAACACTTTAAATGTACCTCAAACTTGTGAAATTTCTTTTTTTTTTTATGTTGTTTCAAGCCATAAATATTCATAACTAAGTATCTT